TCACAGACAACCGAACATCGTGACGGCGCCACAGATGTCTCAAGTTGGCAAATGCCAACTGAGCCTTCTGTATTCGCGCCGACACTTCATCCGTGATGCCTCCACCGGGTGAGATGTAGCTGCCCAAATAGCAAAACATATCCACTTGCTTTATTACTTCTCCAGGTAGATTAAGGCTCGGTGCTGGACCGACCCAGTCTTATAGTAACATTTTACACTTTGAAGGTGCAAAACGCATACCGAACTAGTGGCTGAAGTGACAGGCGATTGGAGAGCTCCGCTTCGAAGGCCGATGTGCAGCCGTCGCAGACGCTGTATCGTTGGTATCCGTTGTCGGTGGCTTTTCTGCCGTTGTTCTCCAGGCGTAGGGAGAATTTGGCGTGTAGCAAGGCGTAGTCTTTATCCACAGCTGTTGACGAGTAAGAGCGGCAGTCTTGAGTTGGTTCCCTCCATCGGCTACTGATGGCGATGTGGTCGATCTGGGTCCAGCGTTGTGAAGAGGTGGGCGGTTTCCGTGTATGACGGTAACATTTCTTATGTGAGAAGTTCGTGTTTGACAAGAACAATCCGTGGTCCGCTCAGAGTTGAAGTAGACGATCTCCGTTGTGCATCCGGTTGGCTGGGATTGCGTGTGGTCCGCCAAGAAGCCTTTCTGATTCGTTCAGGGATCACATTGAAGTCTCCGGCGACTACTATGACGTCCGTTGATCGAACACTTTGAGGTAATTGAGAAAGATTCTTATAGAATTCATCCTTGACTTCGGGTGTACTGCAATCGGTCGGTGCATACGCCGATACGACGAATAAGCATCGACGCTTCACTCTGTAGCTGTTGACTCGTGCTGAACCGCTGAGACGTACAGCCCACAGTCGGCTACTGACCGGAATCCTGTCAAGAAGCGAGCGCTCCTCCGTGTCACTTAGCGCAATCCCAACGCCAGCAAAACCGCGAGCTTCGGATGCCGAATCGCGTGATACACGAAGGGTGAAGCGTGAGGTGGAGGTTGGATCAGGAGAGCGCAGGGAGATAATGGAAGTAGCGTCTTGCATGCGTGTTTCGGAGACACAACATACATCTAAATTGAAAGTTTCAAGGGTTCTAGCTAAGGCGGCTTGTTGACCGATCTGATAGAGTGTGCGGACACTGAACGCGGCTAAGTGAAAAGGGGATTTTGGCTTTAAAAGTCCTTTAACTTCTGATTGTCTGACTTTGCTTGTAAAACACTGATTGATATTCGATTGGCTTAAACAGGAGGCATCTGGGTTTATTTAGGATTGAGGAGAAGGACTAGACAGATGGGAAAGATGGTTTTCCAAATGGGTGCCTAGGACTTTAGGGCACGACATACTTCGCGGCAGCCCACACCGACGAAGGGGTTTTTCTTTGGGAACCCTAACCGGAGCCTTCGACTCAAAAGTCTAACCCACAAGGCAATGGAGCGTAAATCGAACGCAGGAGTGTGAACGAAGCACCCGTGTGGGAGCTTCTCGAGACCTGTCACACAAGGCCTTTGAATTTCGGTTAAGTTTGTTGTTGGCTGGGGACTGCCCAGCTTGTGCGGGCAGATGCTGTCCAATGAAGTGTGAAGACTTCTCTCACCGTCGAGAGGAAGCCCCAGGTACCCCGCTCCTACGCCCATCTAGCAGGGTTTTTTGATCGGTAAACTGCCCTCACCGCGTTTATTAGCTGAAATGACTTCTCTGGGGGCGGATGTGGATAGGAGGAAGCCAGGAGGTGCCCAAGCAGCTGGCTTTGTGAGACTGAGCTTTGTCTGGTCTCTGCCTGTTGACCTTTCGGGCATGATTGGATCTACAGCTGTGAAAAGCCATCCTGTATAGCTCGCAGAGGCATGGAGGCACACATGCCATCACATTACGCCAAGATGCAGTCTCGTCGTGATGGGAGGAGTTTAATAGCTGGCAATGAACGGCTTATTGCGCGTTTCGCAATAGTCACCAAGTGAGTCGCTTATTTAACCTTCGAAATTAGCTGTAGTGTATCGACTTAATTGGGCTCTGCTGACATATATGTTCATCTCTGTCATCGTGGCGGGGTTGTGATAACAAACATGTCGCGAAAGGCCTGTTCCTGGTAGTTTAACGTCCCACATCATATCACCAATTCTTTTCTTCCTTTCGTTAAATTTAAATTCTCACTGGTGGCAATGTCAACTTCAAACTCCTGGGGAACCCCCAAACTGTCCATTTTCTTGCTCTTTCATAACAATTCAAACATGAATTTCGTTCGTATATTGTAAAATCTAAACACATTCTGAGACTCGTCTCCTTCAAGTTCGTTCTCTCTACCCCCGACTCTCTTGTTTGTTAATGAATATGATCTTTCGGGCCCGAAACGACCCCTTAGATAACCCCATCCACTCGTGACTCCACTCGTGACATCATAGTAATGCCTGTAGTAATCGTTGAGAATCTGAATCAGGATTTGAATATCCTCGCGATTGTCCAATCGCTTCCGCATGCGGTATATGAAAAACACGTGCTTCAAATTCTCTAACAAGGGCACAAACATGGGATTGGATAACACCTCACGCAGACTGCGGCCAGCGGTAAGCCATAACTGTCCCGCCAAGGGAAACACACGCCTCACAGGATTCCAATTTACAATTTCAGAGAACTCCTGGAACCAGGCCCTATCCGTAGCATCCAGTGCGTTAAACCAGTCCTCAATTGTCTGTGTCATAGTAAGAATGAACACTTTATAAAAACCAAGCGTTTATATACCCATCACAGGCTACCTAGCCATTGGTTATACCAGTCCTTCAAAAAACAAGGACAAAGTTTACATGGTGGCTCTGGCAGGTTTGGGGATGAAATGGTTACAGACAGATTATAAATATAGCACCGGGCCCGAATGGCCTTGGCGTCTTCCGTTAAACAATACATAGCAATGTCAGTATTTGAGGAAATTAACACTGGCAATCGATATAGTCTCTCGTCCTTTGAATGTTTCACATGAACATCAAACGGCTTGCCACCCAAAAGTTCCTTGAAGTCATCCACAGTGCCGGGGGTTATACGTGGCTCTTCCATTAATGCCACAGCCTTATTCAGCAAATTCATCAGAAAAATCTGCGAATGATCTCCGTTCCTTTGCACGGTCCCATAAATATAATTGTCCACAAGGAGTGCCAAAAACGGAGATTTGCCTACAAATGTACATAATATTAAAGTGACTTACCAGTCGTGGTTGGTCCCTGTAATACGAAGGCGTTCCGCCTGGTTTCTCCTTTATTCATAAAACTGGATAAATTGGTCAGAAATTCGTGTTTATCAAGGTGATTCACACTCAAGAGGGTATCCAGCCGTTGCATACCCGCTGTGGTATCCTCGGGATATGTGCACAGTCGGGTGTGATTGTTCTCCTGTATGTATGTCTCAAATCGGCTTGTTTGTTGTTTTTGTCTTAATGATTCACAATACGCCTCTATGCACAGTTCTGCTGCTTCCTTCCACTGGTTTCCATGTTCAGCATATAAACTCTTTCGATCGGCAAACGTCAGGGAATTTTTCAATTTGAACAACGACCTAGCATCGTGTTCCTCGACCAACTCCGAAAGGTAATCGATTCTATTCTTCCGTTTGACCCTCTCAAACTTTTGTGTGCCTGAGCGTAGGATACGGCTGATGTTGGCACAGTCCTTCTCCTCCCTTGTAACGTTTTGTAAATCCCACGCAAGCTGGGCCAACTTACGTCCTAAGCATTGGACATTCACCGTCTCATTGCGAACCAGATACGCAGCAAACCTGTTCCAATTCACCACCCGTTGATTTGAGGCTTGGATGGATATAATGTCGTCTGGCGATGCACGAAATTCATTTAAGATGCTGCTCACGGTATGTCATTGTTCCGTGAATCGGACCGAAAAATGATATGGTGATGATCACCGTGGTCAACAGCTAGAAAATTTAACCTTGAGTGGGCGTCAAGCCCACTGATTGGTTCTTTGAAAACAAAGGTTCACAGTTGAGATTGGCATTAACACGAATGAAACAGGCTTACCTCCATTTCAACTTGTTCCGAGAGCGGAGTGGTATTGAGCGCTGGCGTATCCGTCTGATCCGTACGTCGTAGAGCATGTTGCAGAGGAACGAAGTGACTGAGACGAATATGGCCAGACTCAAACACAATAATCATAACTCTTTGCCATGACTGAGTATGGTTCACGAAACTCAGTGCCAGTTTGATTGCATAGCCAAAATTCGATAAATTGATAGGGAAGGCAGGTGACGTAGAATTTGTCCGTGTCCGTGTCTGCAGGCTTGTATTGGGCCACCGTAATGTGTTGTTTTCTAACCACATCGACTTGGGTTTTGTAATAGTGTATTTTGAACAGATCAAATGCCTTTGTGATGGATCCACCGGCAGTAGTGTTTTCCTCAGGGTCGTCATCTGCGTTTCCCGAGTCCAGTCTTTGTCGTTTTGACATGTCCTCCGGAGGATTGGTAGCATGCTGTATCTGGGTATCACCCTGTTGTGCGACTACGGTTTGTTTATCTGGAGTCCGTTGTGCGGATACGTCACCAACAACGGAAACAGCACCTTGGTGTTGTTGGTCAACCGGCTCTCTCGGAGATGGATAGTCCGTACGTGACGACGGACGACGCGAGCTGATCCTCTGTTGCCTTTTACGTTCCAAGATTGTCTGAGCCATGAATGAACGCAAGTGATAAAACAGGCATTTATATACTCAAAGGCTGTTCAGCCATTGGTTATACCAGTCCTTGAAAAAGCAAGGACATAGTTTACAAGGGGGCTCGGGTAAATTGGGTGAGGGAATGGAGACACTTAGATTGTATATATAACAACGGGCCCGAATGGCCTTGGTGTCCTCTGACAAGCAGTACATTACAATGTCAGTGTTTGATGAAATTAACACAGGGAGGCGGTATAACCGCTCGTCCTTTGAATGCTTGACATGCACATCAAAGGGTTTACCACCCAGTAATTCCTTGAAATCGTTCACAGTACCCGGTGTAATCCTGGGCTCCTCCATCAAGGCAACAGCCTTGCTTAACAAATTCATAAGAAAGAACTGCGAATGGTCCCCGCTCCTTTGAACTGTCCCATAGATGTAGTTATCCACAATCAACGATAAAAACAGGGATTTGCCTAAAACTATACTTCATTTCAAAGTGACTTACCAGTTGTTGTCGGTCCTTGGAGTACAAATGCGTTTCTCCGGGTCTCTCTCTTGTCCATGACACTGGACAAGTTTGTCAAAAACTCGTGCTTATCAATGGAATTCACACGTAGCAGGGTGTCTAACCACTGCATTCCCATCGTCGTATCTTCGGGAAGGGAGCACAGGCGAGTGTGATTGTTCTCTTGAATATATGTTTCAAAACGTGTGTTTTGCTGCTTCTGTCTCAAGGATTCACAGTATGCCTCGATACATAACTCTGCAGCCTCCTTCCATTGATTGCCGTGCTCGGCATAGAGGCTCTTTCTATCTGCAAAGCTGAGAGAGTTTTTCAACTCCAACAGCGATCTGGCATCATGTTCCTCTACCAGATCCGAGAGATAGTCGATCCTATTCTTCCGTTTCACACTTTCAAACTTTTGACCTCCAGCACGTAAAGACCGGCTCATATTGGCACAGTCCTTCTCCTCCCGAGTGACATTCTGCAAGTCCCAAGCGAGTTGGGCCAATTTCCTTCCAAAGCGTTGCACATTCACTCGTTCATTACGCACAAGATAGGCTGCAAAGCGATTCCAATTGGCAACAGCTTGCACAGGGGCTTAAATGGAAATGATATCCTCGGTCGCCGCACGAAATGCATTGAGAAGAGTGGACAGAGTACGTCCNGTCCTTTGTTCCGCGCATCCCCACGAAAAATGATGTGCTGATGATCACCGTGGTCAACAGCAAGAAAATTCACCGTGAGTGGGCGTCTAGCCCCAGGATTGGTCCTTTGAGAACAAAGGTCGACAATTTAGACTGGAATAAACATGAATCAAACAGGCTTACCTCAACGTGTTCCGTCTCGTCTATGCTGCTAGTCTCCTCCATTGTGGGGGCGTCAACCTGTTCAGACACATCGCTTAGTGGCTGGGGTGTGTCCAACTGGTCCACAGCATGTTCAGACATGGTGCTGTGTGCCACGGGCGTGTCAGCCAGTTTCGGTGAGTCAAGCAAGTCAAACTGTGGATTGAACATCTGAAATGGTCAAATCTCATTAGATTTGTGAAAAGACAACTTAAATACCACGCACAACACACAAAGTTTACCCTATTCCTCCTCACATCACAACTTACATCTATTCCTCCTCACTTCACAAGTAACCCTTATTCCTCACCTCGTAATGACCATATGTAAGATACGTGAAAGGTTCAGTTCACGTCAACGCGCACGAGCGGAATATCCCTCTCCGAGAGAACCACAAGAAGGTCCAATTTCTGTTCTTGCAGACGTATCCGAGCAGCGCAATCCGGAACCACAGACCGTAGTCGCACAACAGCCAGACACAACCGCCTATGACAAAACGACCACGATTGGACTCTGGAAACGAGGACAACGACCCGGAGGATAATACAACAGCCGTTGGATCCATTACCAAGGCCTTTGATTTATTCAAGGTGCACTACTACAAAACCCAGGTCGATGTGGTCCGAAAACAACACATTACGGTGGCCCAATACAAGCCTGCAGACACGGACACGGACAAATTCTACGTCACCTGCCTTCCCTATCAATTTATCGAGTTTTGGCTCTGCAATAAAACTGGCACTGAGTTTCGCGAACCGTACTCATTCATGGCAAGGGGCCATGATTATTGTGTGTTTGAGTCTGGCCATATTCGTCTCAGTCACTTCGTTCCTCTGCAACATGCTCTACGACGTACGGATCAGACGGATACGCCAGCGCTCAATACCACTCCATACGCCTACATCAGCAAGGACAACCTTGGAATTCTCAGTTCCGTCAAGGCCAAGAAGGCCATAACACACGCGGATATGGTGGCTCAGCAAGTGAAAATCGCCTCCAGCGAATTCTGGGGTGAAACCAACGATGAGGGATTACTGGCCCTGGATGAAACCAAGACAATGACCAACGGGGACTCCTTCGACTATTACTTTGACATGAATAGCTGCTTTGATCATCGATTCAAGCAGGCAGCACCCCGGTATAACAAGGACGCATTGCAGTACTTACCCCTGGCCTATTCACATGATGCTACGGATGGTACGTTTGGTGGGGGAATCCAACTAAAATTCACTCACCATGGATCAACGGGTACAGGTGTGACGGCCTATGTCCCTCAAAGAGACCTCCCATTCATATTCATCTACCTGCCTTGGATTGAACAGGTCAATGACAAGAAGAACATTACTCGACTGT